CTCTAAATATTGTAATTTATTTAGTCCTTCGGCAGTATTCGTACGCAACTTGAAAGTCCAAAAATTCAACGTGTTGGAAGTCCTTAACAGTAAATTTGGGGCTGGAAAATCGTGGTTCGCTCTCAAATGGTGAAGCGTCTACGTAACTATGATATAGTTGTATGAAATTTGGCCATAATTTCACAATGTATGTCATTAGATAAGATATAAGTCCTTGAAAGTCCTCTTAAATCCCTGCTGTGAGCAATCAGTAAAAAAGAATCAATTTCGACCGACTATTAACCCAAAACAACGACCTACTCACAGATTTAACAAGTGTAAGGACTGAGTGAGCTATTCAACGAAAGATGGTATCAAATAAACGACTGCTAAAAACTGTTACTAAAAATAGCTTAGTACGGGATACGTGACATTACGGATATACGGATAGGGGGCATATGAACTCCCCTGGTCATCGGCTCCTGTAGATACTGTATTCTTGTGCGACTGATACTTTATCTTTTGAAGGCTGACTTACAGTGACCGTTAAAGGATGAAGTTAATTTCACGTTTGTTTGTTTACTTTCCCTTAGGGCTGGGAAGAAATTACAGACGCCGCCATTACGCACCTATTGCGGACCTGTCTAGCGAAAAGTGCTAAAGATCAAGCGGGTTCGTATTCATTTAGGAACCGCTCTTTCATTAGGGGGAATAAGTACCAGTTGATGATCAGCTCGGGTCTCTAATGCCGGGCTGAACCCGCAGCTTACGTTACGAAGTTACTGAGCAACCGATCACGCCTTAAGCTTGTTGGCGTGATAACTGTATTATTGACCGCTTGTGCTATTCTTTGATTGTTAAAATATAATCGGGAACTTTACGAGTGTTGCCACGATGCTTTGTATGGAGCTGAAGATAAATCCTTTACATGGGACTTCAGGCTCCATTGTTTAAAAGGTGGATAACGCTATCCGCTGGATAAATTGCTGTCCAGTGGCTAAAAGTTAACAAAACAAACCACGCTATCTGCTGGATAGCGATTTATCCGGTGGATATAGTTGTACACCTTTCGCACAACCCGCTCCTGTACTTTACTCCCATCAGTATTTACTAATTAGTTACTGAAAGTTAATAAGAAAATATTGAAAATGTTGTGTTAGGAGCTTGTATCCGGGCTGAGGAGGTGTTAGTTAGATGTCTCAAAACGTCAATCTGTGTGAAAGAAGAAAAGTAATATGTCCTTTTTTCATTACGAAACCCTTCTAGAGCTCTGCTGAAACACTTCAGTGCCAGATCCAATGATTTTGATGCATCAAAGAAACGTTTCTAGTGTCTATTTGTGTTTAGCGATAGTCAATGTCCTTTGCGTTTGCTTGTAGTTGGTGTTTCTGCCATGAAGATTCCTCCAGACACTAGCAAACTAAAGAAACACATCGCATTGATGTGTGATCGCCTTAACAAAGGCGGCAAGCTTGATTTGTCGATGTCGTCACAGACTGGGGAACCCCCTGTCCAACAGCAACAACAGAAGGCAGTCATGCCCCTGGAACCCCTGAGCGAGATTCAGGAGGAAGAGGACGAGACAGGTAACTCTCAATACTGATCGGTAGGTTATTTCTCCTTACGAGTTTAATATACTGTCAAGGGAAGAGGTGATGAGAAACAACGATTTCACCAACTAGGGTGTATTATCTGGATACACCACTAACTTCTCAAAACTAATTATCTTAGTGTAACAGTAAGAATTTAAGGAGAATTCGAATTCCTAACTTTGTCTTTATTTACAGATAGCTCATCCGCGCCCTCCACAGCCGACGTTGACCGCTCGTCCGAGATCTCCGACACGGAGTCCTTGTCAAGTGGCGGAAAACTACCGCAGCGCTTACCGCAACTGAACCACTCCAGGAAACCTCTTCCAGATTTGAACAAGAGGGTGCTGGTGACACCTGGGTCTGAAGAGGAAAGTATGGTACTCAAGGGAATTGGGGCGGCTTCCGTGACGAATGGTTTGCCCGAAGATCACGAAAGAGCGTTGTAACGCAGCTTAGTTACTCTTCGGATTGTCACGCAACGTAACAGTCATTTTTTGTCTTAGTTGTCACCCAGAATTACGCAGTTGTCACACAACGTCGCACAGTCAATCCTCGAAACGTCGCTTCAAGAGTTGTCACGTAACGTTGCGTAACGCACTAAGAAACAGTTTTGACGTAGTAATAATATTGATGTTTCTTCTCATAATTCTTCTCATAATCATTATAGCCATTTTACCTTCACATTCGTATCCGGAAACCATTCATGATGCAAGCAGTGTGTGTGACATGATATTCTGTCATACTCATCTCGATCCTTTGGTATTCTTAAAAGTTTTTGTCATCATGCCCCGTGCTGCCAATTCTTATGGAGTAAATTTGTTTTTATCCTTACAATAATTAATTTAAATGTATCATGAATTGGTAAGATATTTCCTGGCATGTAATATTTCTCTGGTCAAAGAGCTCTTTCAGACATAGTGTAGCTCACGATTACGGTGACCAAATAATTTTGTGTAAAAAGATTAAGTCAAGATAAAGTGTGCTTCAAATTGATGTTAGGTGTTCGAAAAATAACTTAATGTACAGCTAATGTAATACATGATTGTACAGCGTCGTATAAGACATGAAATGTGTCTGTATTGTAAAGTTGTAGAATGTTGTACTATACGAGTTTCACCTCATCTCAATAGTTATAATCCACTGGGTTTTCAATTATCAGCGTAGACTGTTCACAGCCCTCTATTTTCTCGGATTTTATTCGATCGTTGAACGCGCAGATAGAATCGCGAGAGAACTGGAAGCCAGCGCAAAACGCAAGACTTGACTGGGTAGGGGGTGGAGACCAACTCACCCCTCACCCCCGCGTGTTTCGTGCGTGCTACGCTCGCTTTTTCTTTCGCGTGCGTAAATAGAGAGGCTGAGAACAGTCTATTCCCAGCGATTCTCTGACTTTCAAGTTAGTCGACTCTCAAGTTAGTTGTTCTATTTCCGTCTTAATCTTCCTCGATCGTAAACCATACCTGTTTTCTTTCGCTTTATTTAACTTTGTAATCTTATTTTTTTGTTGTTTTTCTACCGTGGAAGTTTATGATTTCTAGTACAGTTTGAAAGCAATTTTGTAAATAAGAAAAACCACTCTGAGTATTGTGACATGCTGTAGCTTTCAAGTTTTGTCATTGCGCTCACGAATCCCGTAGTTAAACATAATTGCGCTCCAAATGGACCATTTGTAGAAAAAATACGCCTCGCCGCTCAATTTATCCTGCAGAATTTAAGAAATATGCGAAGTTTCGTAAGAATCCGTTGCAAACTTACGTAAATATGGCCCTTTATGGGGACCCCAAACGTGTCAATTTTTACAAAAGAAAATGTTGGCTTGGAGGCAAGCGCTACCCCTGGCATTTCTTTGTGGAAACCGGCAAGCTTGGGGTCCCATGTCTCCATGCGTTTGTAAGGGATTCTTGTGAAACTTCGCATATGTTCTAAATTCAGCATGATAAATTAACCTATGGAGGTGATTTTTTGTGTATATGAAAAATACGAAAAATTGTTGATATTGCGTGACATCTTCAAAATGGCCATTGGCAAGCCGCTTGGACTGTTTTATTGTTAGATATTTATAGAACTCGGATGTCTCGATAAATTAAAGACAGTTACAAATGTTGAGGCGTTCAGTCGCATTAATTTTATATTTTAACTTTTCTTAGGGGCGTGCTGATCCTTTGCTAAAGTAGAATGCGACGGTACTTATTTTTCAGCAACCTCCCGCCCCCCCTTCCAAAAAAAATTCCCTCGGAGTACCCGCACCCCGGCTGAACAAAGCCACAGTAGGTTGTAAGAATCAAGAGCCTGTTGTCAGGAAAGGTGCTCAGTCTCGAGTAACAATGAACACATCTAAAGTTTAGAGTGCTTGCCTGACCTTCCAGGAAGTCTTTCTTTAAGGTCCGACTACTACTGTGTATACGCAACGAAGGCGGTGTTGTCGAGAAGGGCTTGGGGGAGAGCTGTATACTAATTGTCTCGCCTCAATCTCTTCTCCTCTTTGAAACCGTCGTCCCGTGGTGGCTCCATAACTGGTCGACGAGTGAAAAACTCACCGTAAGAGGTATATCTAGATTTCCGAGGAAATATATAAAAAAAAATAGGCTTGATTGATCTATCTTCCACCTTATGCATGGCTACACTTGGTTTGTTGATAAAATTCTTATCATCCGATCCACCCAGCATTAACTATCATTAATAATATGGATGCCACCTGAGTGTCCGTACATTAAAAGTTTATTTCAATTGTAAATTTCAATGTCGGGGCCATATAGTTGTCAACAGGAGAGTCGAGGTTGTACACAACGGCCATATTGGCTTACAGAAATGTTTTCATTGTTAGTGTCCTAATATTGCCGCCATGATAGCCTTTTAAAATTCTACGGTATAAAGGGACGTCAGATCGTAGCTGGGTTACCAAAGAAGGTGCGTTAGTGAGCCTAAAAGCGCGATTTTTAGGTATGGTGTCTGCGAAGTGAACTCCCAGTTTCTACTGTGTGATGAATTTGCTTTTAGAGCTCACGGCCGCCGGTGGTGATGTATCATTCATAGAAGTGCTTTCCACACCCACTGACCGCTATGTGGGTAATTTGGAATTTCTTCTTGTTTGTCTTGATCTGCGAAGCTTTGTTTGTTATATTCATCCTTCTGTTTACTCACCGCCAGTTCAAAAGTCTCCTCAAGATAAATCTAAAAGAATGCATGACTGCGTTCTGGACATGGGTTGAAATGGCGCTGTTAGGTTTGTCTTGGACCAGTATCGTTCTGTATTTTATCAGGTTCGGGCTAGGCGTGACGGACTCACGAAGAGGGCTTTTCGAGAGAATCGTCAAGAATTTGTGGATTTCCACCATCTCGCACTGGTTGATCAATTGTTCGGTTATGTCTATGCATTTTAGTTTTGATCATCTCGGTGAAATTTCTCCGTTTATTTTGCTTCAACCGTCGTATGTCTCTTCTTGGATCCACCTTGAAATGCGCTGCGAAGGAAATGCTTAATTTGGGAATCATTTCCAGCCTGGTTTTTGTCGGATTTTCCCATTGCTGCTACCTAGTGTTCTCACACGAACTGTACAAATTTCACACTTTGTCACCACTGTAGAAACCCTCATCAGAGTCATATGTTAGCAAGTTCAGTTATGTTAGCTTGGAGCGAGCCAACAGAGTCCTGGGTCCGATGACGTTCTTCTTCTACAGTATAGGGGTGGTCTTCATCCTGGTCAACATACTCCTGTCAATCATTATTAAGAACTTTAAGAGCGCGAAGCGAAACAACGACCTCCAGTCTGACGAATACGAGATCGTCGACTTTATGACAACAATTTATGAGTTGGTTGGGATTGAGGTCGTGATCGATTTTCAAAAATCGGGTTTTTACCGAGCGGGATTTTGAGCAAACACGGTGCACAAGAATAGAAAACGGACCGACGAAGCTGCGCTACTGAAGGAGAGGGTCGATCGACTTGTGACGCTTATCCAAAAAGTTCATTGTTAATGATGATGAAGAAGATTTTCTCAGAAATGAGGGAGAAGTGACCTATCTATTGCCGGATATCAAACTGGAATCTTACCCTTGAGGACAACATCTAGAATGATATTAGCACTGGTACCTTATTGAACGAAACTCAGCTGTGTGTATTAACCGCTGATATTGACAGAGCACCTTTTAAAAACATGGCGCCATTTGAAATCGTGTCCTTTACTTAATGTTAAGGTCCTCTCTATATTCCTATAGCTTGACAAGGCCGGCTTCGCCTGCGAGTGTTTCAAGCTACCGGCGGTGTCAGTAAAACAGCAGTTGGCATATTAAACTGGCTGCTTCAGTTGTGTAGAATATGCATGCGGCCCCCCGACCCCCGGGACATAGCGAGGAATGTAACATTTGTATAACGTTACATTTTAAACTTCCCCCCGCCCCTCGGGGGGAAGGTTGCTGTTATAATACCCACCCATATGGCCCCGGTGTGTCACTAGGACATTCTGCTAAGCTGGTTTTCCTAGTACTAGTAAATAGTCATTACACATCGCTGAAAAACGTGATAGCTGCCGGAGGGTTTTCATATCGCTGCGATTGCTAGTAGAAACGGTTGCATTCATTTTCAAGCAGCTGGAGGAAAATGAAAACAAATTTTGCAGAGTTAGATTTTAAAAACTTTTTCTACTATTTCTTGACACAAAAACTATTGTTGAGGCATTTAAATCTTTGCAACCTCGTTCAACAACTTTTGGAGTACTTGCTGTTGTTCGCTGCTGCCGGGGCGCTATCTTTCAACTTTTTGAAAGGCGAAAGAAACCGGGTGATTACTTTAATGATGAAATTTTTCGGAAGAAATTTTGGACTAAAAAATTTTCTATCACGTATATTTAGAAAAATGATCAAATTCCTGTGATTGTGAACACTTTACGACAAGGAAGGCAGATCCAAAACGGTCCACAATGGGCACTAGTGTTTTCCTCAACTGCTGAATAATTGATTAGTTTGTTCCTATTTGTTCAAGCTAAACTGTCAATAATGACACTAAATTCATTTACACCGTTTATAATCACAGAGCGTTACTTCCGCAAATTTAAAAAAAAACGTCTGAAATTAAACCTATCAAGAGCATGGTACATGCGAAATTGAACGCCCTGGTTTCAGCTGAGATGCATTTTAACAGAGGACCGAGCTTTGTTAGCCAATCAGAACGCAACTCTTTCCTGAACTTTTTCTTCAGCCTCCGTTTGATATTGAGGCTTAGTACGAAACAGTTCATGTCCAAGTGAATTTTGACACGTCCTTAGTATGTTATGAAGCTTGTTTATTATATGAAAGGTTTTGCACTAGGTATGAAAGACAATAAAGAGTCTCCATTCTAGTTGTGGAATATACCTCTTAGTTATAAAGTGCTTCAAAAATCTAATCCTCGATAAATAATTATAGATATTGCCTTTCACAAGTGCGAAGACTAATTTTTATATAATAAGATTTGACCTAAAGCTCAAGATTTCTTCGAGCAAACAGTTATTACGATAATATTATAACTTATGCAATTTTTCCAACTTGAATACAAAGGGATCTCGTTTTACAGGTTCTTAGGCTCGACTTCCTTTGCCTCGGGTCCGGTCCCCGAGCGTCCCTTGCAGGCAGAAATGCGGGCTCCTTTCCAGACCAGCGACTGGTAATCGAGCCTAACAAGTTCTTAGCTACGACAGCACTTACGGGAGAAAATTACTGATGAATAAATAGCCAACCCCGTTCCCAGGGCTTTCCCCTCTACCTGGGAACGAGGTTGAAATAACAGCATGGTGTAGCTAATAAAATTTCAACTTTCATAACCAGGCTTCCTCTATGAAACAGCCACACTTTCAACACTTCTAACCTCATAGTCGGCTCCAGTTTGCCAGGCGGTTCCTTGTTTGACCACTAGCCTATATCTCTCGTTATTGTAAGTTACCAATTTGGTTAATTTACAAACCGACGTCTTCGCTTACTCCGTGCTTGGGATCCTCTCTATGTTAAAATACCGCGACACGAAGCCCTCCTGGCGCTGCTAAATACTTGTCTATAAGTCAATTCTGTGACTACCTCCTGCCGTCTAGACAAAGAGTACGCCCGAGGGGGACCGGGAGGAACTCCCTTCTATGAAGGACGGCGGTGCTCGTCGGGAATTTTGAAATGAACCCCTAATAGGTACCAAAGTACTTTTTTGTGGGCGTGGCTTAAAATTTTGTTACCCCTAAGAAGCACCAATTCTAAAACAGCACATTATCTCCTGTCATATTTTTCCGGCTCAATACCACAAAGTTACCGCAAAACCTCCCGCTGTGGACCTTTTGAGGCTGACACTCTAAAAGGAACCAAAACCGCTTTTTAAACCCTTAAAAGTACGACGAGCACCCCCCTCCTTTTTACATGGGAGTCCCCCCGGGCAAAGAATACGTATAGCTATTGGCTGCTGTACAGTTTAAAATGTCTTGTATTCATGTTCCATTGCTTATGGATTTTTCCTTTCTCTGGCGTCGCCGTGTAATGGTATTGTTCCTCATCTCCTTGTGTCATTTAAATACTTCCTTGGGACTCTACAAGCTAGGCCAGGTTTCGCTGAACCACTGACCAACTGTTGTTAGTATGATGAAAACTACGTATGGGTGTTTGCTAAGCTAACTTCATCTGCCCTTCTCATTGTTTAGTCTTCTAATCCACTGATGGCTTCTCTTGGTACTAACAGCCGCAACCCGCAGTTTAGTCTGAATTAAAGCCAGCTGTTGAAGAATTCAAAACAAAACAAGCAGTCAGAAAAGCTGCGGAAAGTGTCTTCTGTAGAAGTACTGATTAGGCTGTAGCCTACTATCCTCCTACATGTACACAGACGCTTTTTGGGCCCGTCACACAATCTTTTGCGTGACGAGCCCAAAAAGCGTCTGTTTTGGAGGCTAATTAGGTCGTTGTTAGTTTCCCAACTCGCAGCAATTACTTGAATCGTCACGCAACGCTTGTTCCGGCTTAGAAGAGTGTGGCGTTACATGCGTGAAGATTCGAACAACATTTGCGAAGTCAAACCAGTGTCTCTTGTATGTTAGTATTTCCCAGCAACTTGTCTTCTACCAAAAACTATTTCAAATTGCAGTGAAAAAAAAGGGTTGGAAGTACACGAGATTATGTGACGTGAAATTCTGTTTCACGTAACAATGATGTGTGCAACTTCGAATTTACTTTCTTTACTGCGTACGACAAGTTGTAGGAAAATTGATGTCAGTAGCCATGGCAACAAGACCTACATGATTTAATTTCGCGTTCCGATTGGTTACTTAATTGAGATCGTACAATCCTTAGCTACAATCATTTATAAATCTAACGCAAACGTTTTAACCAAAGAGTAAGCGAAATACATTTAGTCTTTTTTCACTAACTATTAGGTGTAAACTATGAAAAATTATTTTATTTTAGTGTCGGTGAACAGTGAATGATATATACCTCGCACTTTTTCAGCTCGATTAATAAATATCCTCCGCTTATTCACCTCCGCTCTACCTATCGGATAAATTTCTCATATGAACAGGAACGTTATGTGGTAACCTTCTCCCTAAATTTAAGTTTTTCTTACTAAGGTAATCATTACACCGGTTTTAAGTGAAAACGAAAATGAAAAGTGTTATGTATACCTTGAGAAAGGATTCTTAATTTAGTTAGTAATCACTTAAGCTGTTTCTATTATTATGGGTTAGTAATTATCCCGAAACAAAGTTATAACGGTTCCGGTTAAGAACTAAATTCTTGAAAAGTACTTGCTTGATCTCATTTGTATTTTGTCGTTTTTCATTTTTGCCACAAGGTTAGGATTTCATACTAAGTATTAGATGTTTAACAAGTCCTTGTGCTATGGAACAGTCAAAGCTTTCCGAATCATATTAGGAAGTTTGGTTAGATTGTTACTCTCTGTCACAGCCCTTTCGTTTGTCGAACTGCCGTCAAAGTAAGCGAGATCTGGAGATCGGAGTTCTAATTTCTTGATTACTAGAAACCTTCCAGTTACTGTTATGTACCCCAGATATCGCAACAGTCTAACATGGCGGTTCGTCTGTCCGAGAGGGACTGTGGCATAGTATCAAACGAGTGAATGGTAAAATATATTTTCTCACAATCTGATTGGTTAATGACGAGTAGAATAAATTCGAGGAAAATTTTCAGATATCTCACCTGTGGAGGACATTTCCACTTTTGAATGCATTTTGTCTTTTGACTATTCCACACAGTACCCGCCGGACACCGACAACCAGGCACGCAAGACGTGGTGGGGCACGGGACGCTTACGTCATCCTTGTTGTCGCACGTCCGCTGACATACGGGAACGCAGTCGTCAAAAACAGCGCCTCCTTTGCAGGAAACTCCTTACAACCAGGAAAATAGAAACTCAAACTTTATCTTGGAGTTGTTGACTATTTAGTGCAGTGCATTTTTAATTTAATTGAGTGCAAAGTGTCGATTATTTTAGGTTTAAAAACAAAGTTTTATCATGGTGCAGGTGTATAGCAAAATTAAAGCGCAGTTCACACTAAGCTATGAATTTTACACTAACGTTCTTGGAATCGGTTTACATTCTTTAATTAATAGCTTTGATAATATTCCGCACCATATATTCACATCCGTAAGACTGTAGTTTGGTATCCCAGGTGGATTCCAATATCCTTGGGATATGAATATATTCCGCTATCCCAGGGATATGACTGTATCACGTGCACACTAAGAGACTTACCACAAGTGTTTTTCCTGCCCCAGGACACTGTGACTCCTTCTCGTCTACACGCGCGTGCGTAAGCCATCACTGCCTCACATTCACATCGCCTCCCTGAGCACTCACACACGTCTGAGATACAGGACCAGAAAAACGCGTTGGGTTTCACCTTTTTATGACAGTTTGCAAACTGCTTCTTGATTGGCCAGCAGCGCTTGTGGGCTCGCCAGTAAACCCTCAAACGGTTGAAACATTTTGAAACGGTCGAATCTACGGGAGGGGAGGGTGCTTTTTCGCATCCGTGACTCCTGCGACCCAGCGACCAACCCTCTCCGAACTCGCGGGCGGACGAAGCAAGCCTGCCGCTTTTCAGCACAAAATCGTCTTTCGAATTGGCGTTGAAATTGCCACACAGTCCGCAGACTTTTCCCTTAAAGCTCTTCGGCACGTGTATCTCGATGAAGCCATTGCCATCCCACTGAACGTGAACACCGATGTCGGACACCAGAGAAATGGTGAAACTACCCTTCGTTATCTGAAATTGAGGGAGATGATAGTACGGTAACTCCACATCAGACTTGTTCACTTTCACCATTAGGTCCTTGTGTAACACAATCGTCGTGTCACCCAGATGGATCGTGAGGGCCTTGGACCAAGCGTACACGTTGGAGAATCTTCGCTCAGTACGCATGCGTATGGTGAACTTTTCGCTGACACAGTCTGACGTCAGTTGGTAGCGACAAGTGCCGTGAAAGTTGAACATTTGGCCGTCAAATGTTTGGTAGTGTGGGTCTCCGTATGACGTACAAACACCAGTCTCTGAACAATGTGAAACATAAAATATATATATATATATTAATATATTCCTAAATTTTTACAGATAGAAAACTTTTGTTACAGTTCTGCCCGGGAAAGTCATGTTTCCCTCAAGAAGCTGCCGGTATTTCATTAATGTTTTAAAATTCTAGATTTCACGTGTATCAGTTTTATTTCGATTCCTGGGGTGCTTACCATTTAGTAAAAGAATCCGGAAATTTCGGTTGAGAGTCAAATGGAACAGTAATTTTCCGGAAAATCCGTTCGGAAATTGTAGATTACCTCCAGAGGTAGTCCTCTTTTTCCGTTCGAAACGGAACGGCGAAAATTCCCTTTCCAGTTGCTAAATTTTCCAGTTTCCAGTCTCTCAGCAGCCGAAAACAATTACGGGAAATCCAATTGCAAATGGTAAGCGCCACCTCGTTCGGTTGGTTTGCTGATTTTGGAAAAACCCTTACCATTATTAAACGGTCATCCCAACTGGTTTGTTCTGATCTGACAAGGGGTAAGCACCCCTGGTATATGTATTCTTTTTCCGACCGTGGTTTTCTAGTTTCCAAATATGGCCAGTCAGAGCGTTATCACATGAGCTCCATAGGAGGCAATGTGTCAATAAACAACATGGCGGACGTTTCTATGCAGAACATGTGTGATAAATCAGTGGCGATATCTCATTGAAATACCACGCAAAGCTCGCGCAAAACTACGAGAGGTGACAGCAAAAGCGACCGTGTAGCGTTACTAACCGACTGATGCTCTCAACTCCTCAGTAGAATGTTTCGAAACGAAAGTTTAAGACATGTGAATCGGCTAATTCTTTAGAGGCCCGCTCGCTTGTTCTCGACAACGTATTATAAGGTACGATATTTGCCTTGTTTTATAATGATAAGTTTTAGCATAAACTGTGTGAGATATTTTGTAGTAGTGACACAGAAAGATAGTGTTTCAACCCATGCTATCAGTTTAAACATGTTTAATATGCAGTCGGACCTATTTACCACAATTCAGACAGGGCTGGTAGACTAATTCACATGTTTGGAGCAGAAAATGACGTGAATTTGTAAGTTCCCTTAGCCTGATTCTTAGATGGTCTGTGGTCGCTCGTTCTCACTCCCTCCTTGAAGAGACTTAGAGTGACTAGGGGTCATGTCCTTGGGTAATCAAATGGCGACGAGTGAAATTAGAAGTAGTTTCACGTGCATTTTGTCAAAATTCTGATGATTTCCAATTATTTCAGTTTTGACAAATCTCATGTGAAATTATTTCGTAATTTCACGCGTATGCTCTTTGATTAACTGTTAACATCATTAGTGACGAATTACACTTTCAAACTGGGTGTTTGACTTGCTTATTATATCGAGAAATTTCGCGTCAAACGTTCATAACAATTTTGTAATTTCATTCGTGAAATTATAAATTACCGCTAAAATGTCGCGCCAAAATTAAGGAGTACTTTGTCGCCCACGATATTTTGAAAGATATTGTTCTTACCCTCAATGCACTGCGGGCAGCAACCTCCGGGAACCTGACCTGGTGCCTTGCCCTTTAGTAAACGAACAAATAAAAAAGCTAATTTTAATAAAACACTACATAAATTGGCAATCAATAGCGTTTCTCATAAGATTTTGACTTGTTTATAGTACCTGGTTAGTTTAAAACCTAAGTCAAAACGGTAACATGCCAATGATTTGGACGTGCGATTGGTTGCTTTATACCAGGGGGGTACTCCGTTAATGTTTGGGTAGGTGTGTGCCCTGTACTAGACCATGATCAGCTTGATTTTGCTACCCCACTCAAGGTTAGGCACCAAAAACCCCTACCCTATCCCAGACTAGCTATTTTCCTTGCAGAAACTTTATCACTATCGTAGTGCAACATACGCTAACTATTACTAAACCAATATCTTACAACGTCACTTCCGACTTTCAATTTCTATTATAGAACCCCGTGTAAAGAGCCCTGTTCTACACTAAATTAATTATACACTGGTCACTTTTCCGATAATAATAATAGCCTATTCTAGACGCTTCACAGCGGCACATACCCATATATCTTATCTATGGGAGTGCCCCGGGATTTATAGGACGAGAAGTTTTGAAGACCAACAAAATTTTTTCCAAAATCAATCAATCCCTCAAGAGAAGGAGCGACACTTCGAAGTGTTGCATTGTAATAGCTAAAGTAAAATGATGAATTTCCTCGCTTAGTGAATCCATTCTTGTGTGACAAAATCTTTGGGCTAATCCAGTCCAGCCACAATCACAAAACTTGAAAGTTCCAAGTGCTAAGAATGAAATTGAAAGATTGTATGTCTTTTATCTGCTCGACCTAAAGAAGGAAAGCGACGCTAGTCGAAATACTATCCGTTCCATGTCTGTATTATCATTATTTCAGTTCGGCGATTAATAACAATTAGAGTGGTTTCTAGTACTTGCATTCCTGTCTGAGAGACATTTGGAATGAGAACTGCGCCATCATATTTCATACGTCGTGTGGGTCTCGGCATTGATGTCTTCCTGAAGCATCGAAATGGCCTGCTAATGATAAGGAAGTAAAGCTACTGTAGTGTTTTGGACACACTATGTAAGCAAACATCCACTGCTCACCTCCGGGCATTTGAGTGATTCTGCAGAAGTGCATTTCTGAAGTTCACACGTCACAGTTCCATTTGTACAGAAGCAGATCTGGCAATTCCTCGCGAACCACGACTCGTTATTCTGTAAAACGATGGAAGAAAAAACGCAATTAATGTAATTCTAGAACTCATTGGGAGATGTTTAAACACTCCGGTGCCCTATGGTCCACTCTGGAGCACTTACGTGCATCTCAAGGTTCTTGAGACAGTTCAAGGACACTGCGCCACTCTTGAAGCACTTTGAGCTACTTCTGAGTACTTCCTACATCTCGTGGCACTTTGAAGCATTTCCGGAACACATCGAAGCACTTTGAGCTAGGCACTTCAACCATTCAAAGCACGCTTTGAATCAATTTAAAGTATTCCATTTTGAGAAATTTGGATGGTTTATGTAAATTTCTAAGAGTAAAGGAATAACACCAAAATATTCAACGAGTTCCCTGTGTGCCTCAAGTGGAAGCTATATCTAGATCGCAAAAAGTTATTCATGTATGGGTCATGGAATGCGACATTTAAAAGTCTTCGTGAAATCCTAAATCGCGTCAATTTGAAGAAGACACTTTATAACAAGAACTCTAAAATGCTCCCGCGTACTGACCGTTCCATATTATCGGCGGACGTTTTTATTGAAAGTCCTAAAGAACTGACTTACACAGTCAAACCTCTTCATAACGGCCACCTTGGGGAGAGGAAATTGGCCGTTGCAGCCGTTATGGGGAGGTAGGGATGTAATATGACAATTGTATTTTTTCGGGGTTGCAACATTTTTATAAACTTAAAATAATCAAAATGTATGGATTAAACAGAAACCAAACGGAAACAGAGACCAACGACGCGTGGTCCGGATCAATTTTCGTCACCTTTTACAATAAAAATTGGGATTTGTATGCACCGTTCGTCAGTCGTTGATTAACTGGCCGTTGTGGAGAGGTTATTTTGCAAGTTCGAACGCGCTTTAGTGGCCATTGTGGAGAGGTGGCCGTTGTAGAGAGGTTTAACGTCATTCCCCAATATAGCATTGCGCATCCTTACTACACATAATTTATGGCGTCATTAGCGCGTTCGTGCACGCGCGCATTGGAAACATGGCGGATTCACCTTGATATTGAGTTCGTTAGTTGAAAAATGGCTATTACTCACTAACGAGCTCGGGCAACCCAAATTTTTTTCCAGTCATTTTAATCAACTAACCATTAGCTTTGCGTGAGAAAAGACTGATCTGATTTCTATTGTTGAGAATTGAATAAATAAGGAAAAAAGCAGCTGCAGTATAGTCTTCTCTATTTTGCAGTTTGATAGCCCTAGCAAGCAATTTGGTTCCAATATTTTAACAAGGTTTCAGCTGTCTGTCGAAATCAAACTTAAAAAGTTTATTTGTGTCCGACACAAGTATTGACTGTAGTCATGAGTCTGGGCTCACAAAGAGTTTACAATAACTTGGAATGCGTTCTTGTAATAAGCATGGGACATTTTCAATATCTCACTGCTCCTCAGTTAACGAGCATGGGCACCCCCCATTTTTATTTTATAATTAAAGTTCTCATATGATAAATATTCATTGGACAAAGTTTAAACAAAAGTCTATGTGAAGTTTTATTTCAGGGAAATTACCTTAAATAAGTTTGAATGCATGGACCGTCCGCCGGGACAAAAAAAACGTGGCCGTTGTAGAGATGTGGCCCTTAGTGGAGGTTCGACTGTAGTTATTTATTTAAGATTATCAATACCTTGTGCGTTCTTCCGTCATGAGTACACGATGACGATCCTACCATAAGAAAAAATTTGTTTGATTAGTTGCCATAGTGACCAGCAGCCTGTCCCACATTCTCTCAGTCAGTTGCTCAGAGTGAAGGAGAAGGGAAAGGTGTTAGTTATAATTGTGGTAGATGTAGTTTAGGCGTATGTTTGAAATCTTATCCTTTCCCATCGCTCAACCAAATAACTGCTGCTATTGAGCATTTTTTGGGGTAACCCAGTGGTTTAAAATCTGTTGAGCCCGGCCCGCAGCAGCTTACTATCGATGAGTAGCATAGCATTCTATCATAAATGCCGTTCTCTGATTGGCTGCGCTACTCACTATCTATTCCGTTGTACATAGTTAGTAGCTTGGCAGTGTGCGGTTGTTAGAGAAATGGCGGCTGCTTCTTTGCGTTTTCGAAGTGTCTCGGGAAGGGATTTAGATAAAGTTTTGAACTACTATTAGATTTATGCCAAACAAATAGATTATTTGCTCTCGATTTCTATGTAAATGTAAATCTTATTCATAGTGGTCATGCACTTAGCTATACAAGCATTAAGCTTAGCTGTACTTTACAGGCATGCCACTGAAACAAACAACAACGTGATAGTTGACGAGGGCGCAGAAATCCAGAAGGTTCTAGGTAACTGTTGGAGATAGGGCGCGGTCTTTCGCGTATTATGTCCAAAAAGCACTGAACAATAAAATCGTCTATTTGATCGATAGTATTTGCTTAGTTCATCAGCCAAACCCGGAGCTCAAAATCCGGCTATTCTGATCTCGCTCTCTGCTCACCCCACTTAACTTTATGGCAGAAAATCTCTCCTTACATTAATTGTGCAATGTTAATACTTTGATAAGTAAGCAAAACGACAAGATAGTAAAGAAGAAGATAGCCATTTTCATTTAACTTCCAACTGCAACTAATTTTATCAGAATGTCAATCTGTTTTCCCTTACACACAGCTGTTTGGGGGCTATGGTTGTCATCGACTAGTTTTGTTACGGGCTAAACTAGCTCAGCTCTGTACCGTAGAAAGGTCGCGACTTTAGAAAGGACTCAAGTAAACGGATTTTATCACGTACGTACAAGCTAGCCGGAAGCTTGTGAAATCCTAATTTGTTTAAATTCTTGTATTACCAAAAGGTGCACTCGGAAATGTGTAGGATCAGTTTTCTGTTGTTTTGTCTCCATGCCGAACTTATTAAACGCTGATAAGCCATTTATCTGGCCCTAACAGAGATTAATTCACAGCTTCTTTTTCGCCTTTTCATAACAAATTTCAAAGGAACAAGTCACGGGAATGCTTGTTAGCAATTTAACTTAACATGTTTGCACAAGTGAGCCAATACTCGGAAACGAGATTGCGCAATTTTGGATAAAACTTTCCCTTGATCTTAGCAGAGTGCAACTGAGCGGATTGGGGGTTTGATTTCCTTAAGTGACCTCCATGGCCGCAACGATTGTTTCATATAAACCGATTTGATCCTGTTTTCACTGTCTTCTGGGAAGCAAAAGTGATAAATTTACGTTTCCAAAATTTACGATTTCAACTGTCGACGTTTGCGGATACTACGTGTGGAGGGAAGCCAAGTGCATACCTAGCCCGCCCACCTTACGAGTAATGTCCACGTGCGAATTGCACACCGGTCTTGGACACACGTTTCCACTCAATGTCTCCCATCTTGCTTTGTTTTCTTTGTCACTCTACTTTGTAAAGACTCAAACCAAAGAAATGTTAACGAGAGGACTTGTCGTCGCCTTTTTCAGCTGCAATTACTTTGTCTTATACTGAAATTGCCGCATCTTCACTGAGACAAATGGGTGAGACTCCTTGGCGCCTTCGTTTAGCTTTCAATCTAACCTACTGTTCTTTGTCATCCCTCTAGTCATGTTTATGCTTTTAATAAATCCAAATCCAGCCAGGAAATGTTTGCTACGCGGTAATCTGTAACAAATGTCCTTAAAGTTTCATTTCGTAACACCCCAACCTATTTTGAATTCCACGGTTTAGTATACTAAAACGTTTTTCATAACATAGTGCATGGGGGCATCCATGTTTAGGGTTGGCAGTGTCTTAAAACAATAGTGATCTACATCGATTTTCCTCCTTTATTATCAATACACTGCCAAGCAGATAGGTGCTGAGAATAAAGAAACGAATCAACTTGAGAACACTGTTTATTAATGAACACAAAGCTGGCACACCTTGTGGGCACGGCAAATCGTAGCGAAAGTCGATATTTAGATTGAAACGCGATGTTATGGTTATTTACCAACAATTAATTAAAGTGATATTTCAGCTTGAGGCATTTAATTTTGACCATAATTGTTTGTTATATATATAGTAATTTGTTTTTTCAAACATATTAAATCAATCTGCAAACATAACGTGTGCGAAAGCTTATTATAAACAGGTGAAAAAGTTATACAGGAAATGCAAGTTTTTTGAATGATTTAATTTCACAGATACCTTTCACGACTTCTTCGTCTTTGAAACAGCAATCATTGAACCTCGCTGAAAGTTTTCATTTACTTATGAGTACAATGTTGGGTCAAATGAACGGAAATAAAGAAAATGTTGATAGCATCACCAGTCGCAGTGACGCCATATGCGGTGTGATCAAAAGTTTCTGAGTAAAAATAGGCGACCGCCCTTTACGTTGCGCGGCGTTGTTTAATGAGTCAAGCCGTCTTAATGTCGGCACAATAAACGAATTAGGATAATAAAAGGCTATTATCAAGCAAAGACGCTAATTTCAAGAGGATCATAACTACCAAGTAGGGTTATTAGTTCGAAGGAGACATTGTGGGTTTGCAGTGTGTAGAGTTTTAAAGTGTCTGGTAAAGCGGATTCTGTAATTAGATTCAAATGAGACAGCGGTGATTGCGAATCTACACAAATATTTGTTTGGACTAAATACGAGAAAACAAACACCCATTTAGATTAGATTAGACTCTGTAGGGTAAACATTTCAAAGGTTTGATCGAAGCCATTCATGCAATCCCATAATCCACCGTCCAAACTGGATGGAGTCCATTCAAATCGGTTGCAACTTTCTTGACATATGTCGTTCTGATCAGTCACACCTCAGTCCGGTACTTTTTAAACGAAAGCTATTGAAGTCTTTCCATGTGGTACGGCTAATTATGCTGTACAAAGTGATTCTGACTGTGAAATCTGTTGATGAAACCCAAGTATAGATTGGGTTTGATTACCGGTACTTAAAAATGAAAGCTGTTCAGAAATTCCGCCCCGGTTTCTGTGGTGCAGTGTGTTTACAAAACACAATTCATTTATCCAAATTGGGAAATTTTACGTTTTAACTGAATTGGATGTTTTAGAGTGAAATGGTAGGAGTTACATCAGTGCACAAGAAGTGATAGTTTAAACCTTCCTATTGGATTAATTAGTGACCAAAAAATTTGACTGCATGCATAGACCACCTTGAAACTCGCTTAATCGTGATACCTGAACACCGATTCCGCCGGAAAGAGCACTGAAAACTCAGTAAAGTTTCAAATTTTGAAAGAACGATCTTCATTTAGAGGCAAGTATTGTTCTGTAAAACATTACGATCGTATTTCAGACTTGAAGTCTGCATAATGTTAGTGTAGCTTCCTTCTCAAAACACCGCCATGGCAACGCGTTCAGACGACCGAGAACTTCTCTACGACTGTGTTAAAGATTTCACTCAAATTTAAGATCTCTTACCGCTTGAATTACCGCTTGCGGTATCGATGATTTCTCTGTAAAACTTGAAATTTTCATCTGAAATACAGGTGGTCAGTCCACAATTTGATTGAATTTCGCATCGATGTCTATTCACATTCTGCGGTGCGTCTGCGGTTACCCGCTTTCAAGTTAATTAAGTCCAGAGATATAGGTTAATCTATTTAAGATCATTTAGTATCCACATTTTTTTTCCTGAAGTCAACGTTAAAATTATTCTTACTTTTTGACAGAATACAGGCATAAGTTTTGCTTTTCTCCAAAGGTCTTTACCTTGACTTTCTTGGCAAACAGGACAACATTGACCTTTTTGCTTGGCGATGACTCCTGTGCACCCATTTATTCTTGGACAATCTTCTCGAGCGCATTCCACAGACTTGTTCTGAAAAAGGTGATAAACGCGTTAATCGATAGTTCTTTATAATTCACGACCTACATGTAAAACTAGTAAATTTTATCCGTTCCGATGGGCCAGTGTCAAATTTGGGACTAGAAAAGTAAGGTACAAAGAAACTCGGTCTCGGAAAGATTCTTGCCCATGCAGGTCTGAAACTTCGTTGCGTTGCATAGTCACACAGATTCAGCGATAATCACAAGCTCAGACTATTCTTAGAGGATCTGTTTTAACGTTGGATCGCATTTTCATTTAGCCGGATCCAGACACCGCTATACTGTGATACCGAAACTAATACGTATGAGACAAAGTTAATAACTAGAATATCTTTTTTCACCGGCTTAGGTGATTCCCTTGAAACTAAAGGTGGAAAATTTTACAAATCTTTATTAAGGTGATCTTTGCAATTCCGTTTTTCAAAATACGAAATAAGTAAAATGAACTGATCACCATGCTCTCGAAAGAGATATCATGTGCTCAAGGTGTCGTATAATCCCTTTGAAATATCAGATCCAAGAGATAGCGTATTCAAATCAGCGTTCACCCAATTCTTTTGGTGTGGCGTAAGGCAGCGTCCACACTGCGCCGGCTTTATTTCTACGGTTAGGCGTACCGTCCACACTAATTTGTCAAGCTTTTCGAAAACGCTCTTCAAAGCGGAGGAATTTGAAAACCCCGGTTTTTGGTTTTCGTGTGGACGGAAAACATTTTGAAAATGGAGCTTTTCGAAAACGATGACGTCACGACAATCATGTGATTTGCTTGACAGAGTTTTTTTCAAACACAAATCCAAACTGACCGGTGATTGTTACGGGGCCTAAAACAGCTTAGGGAGGAAGAAAATCTTGAATCATTGTAATCAGTAGATGTACGGGTTATTAACCAGGCTTGAGGTCAATATGGCTGGATATTGGCAAGTTCTTTTTTGCGTGTTTATGGACCGAGCAGGAGTAGAGGTCCACAAACACGAACGAGGCCAATATCCAGCCATCTTGACCGAACAAGCTCTGTCAATAAAGGGCTTATTTTATGGGAGAAGAACGGGATTTTCTTCCGGGACACAGTGGGCAAGATAGCGCCATCTTGCCTGCTCGGTTAGCCAATCACCGCGTAAGATTCGGTTCATCTTGCCCGCTCGCGGAGCTAGCCATATGACAAATGTACAATATAGCTAAAGAAACTCATCATCGAACAATTACTCATTTTGTATTTGTCGTGCTCGAGTTCACAACGTATCTTCACGGGTACAAAGTTCAAGTTTTCAGTTATTTACTTTCTCTGACGATTAAATGGGTCCGGAAATCGTTGTTTCTCCAAAAGTCAACTTAAGGAGAACTGATGGAGCCCAGCAAGGTCCATACAGAAACATTACTCCCGCATGCAGAACGGTCTGCATTGAGCAGGCTTGGTTAATAAGAGATTTGTTAAAGACCTTATGATTAAGCGTGCTTTAGAAACCTTACCCGGTCCAATATTTTAACCTTGGCTTATTTTTTTGTTATTGGACCTCTCGGTCAGTCTAATTAAGGAGGCTATATTTTTTTCTGAGCTTAGTAGTTCTAATGAACTGATTTGCACTGTTACATTTTCAATATTGTTATTCATGGCTAATAGGAAAACTGTTTTCTTGCTTAGTAATTTCCAAAATATTCGCTTAAAATTTTAAGATGCTATTTGTAAGGCTGACATTATCATGAAATTGGTCTGGAAATTGTTTTTTCTCCAAAACTCAACTTAAGGAGTATTGATGGAGCACACCAAGGTCATTATAGAAACATTTCTACCGCATGCAGAACGATCTGCATTGAGCAGGCTTGATTAATACTGAAGAAATTTGTTAAAAGACCTTATGATTAAGCGTGCTTTACTGAGAAACCTTACCCGGTCCAATATTTTAACCTTAGCTTATTTCTGTTATTGGACCTCTCGGGCAGTCTTGTGATAAGGAAATAATTAAGGAGACTGTATTTTTTTTCTGAACCTTGAAACTCTAGTGAACTGATTTGCACCGTTACGTTTTTCATTATTGTTATTCATGGCTTATTGGAAAACTGTTTTCTTGCTTAGTAATTTCCAAAATATTCGCTTAAAATTTAAGATGCTATTTGTAAGGCTAAGAGGTTAAAATAACTCAATAATGTTCAGAAACTGCCAAAAAGAAAGGTAAACGCTATTCTCTGTCGCTACAGCGAAATACACTGTTTCGTTCAGTTTTACGAAGACAGAATGAAACATTGCATAACCTAGTTCGTGATAAACACAGCTTTCACATGAACGAGCTGTGCCATGGAGAAGATATCGGAAATATTGGACTAGCACGTTAATGTCACCCGTTTGACGTCAATGCGGTCTGTTATTTTCAATGTATAGCTGATAAACAACTTCGGAATATAAAATGTAAAGTATTTCAGCTCTAATTTCATAAAACAATTTTTCTAAAATTACAGCTCTTGCTCTCAGTAACGAGTAGTTTGTTAGACCAGTCCATACAACGAATATTCGTCACATGCAAAGAATGGCCATTCATAGCACTTTTGTTTAAATTCCCCCCCTTTAAAACTATTCTATTCTGCGTTTATTCCTTCAGTTTAGAGCCAGTGTGATAATAGAAAGTTTGGTATGACACTGTACAGTCTCTAATAACTTTAACCTTATCTTCCAAGGATGATAATAGCTTGAAATTATGTACTTATGAAATTATTCACAGAGCAGAAACAGTATCTCACGGGGGTTTGGAAGCTCGGCAGAAAATGTTTTGAAAGTTTATGACGTCAAAGTTACCCTGTCGGCATTTGATGGCGCCACATTCACCTGGAATCTCGAAACCTGTAGCTTTCATTTGAATGGTCATACACTAGGGGTTTCATTTTTAACTTGGAACTGGAAAATATTTATTATTTACCAAGTTGTGGTGGTGAAATGATTTCACTCCATCACTCCGTCGCTTCTAGTTAGCCGTTTGGAACGAGGGGGGCGGGGGGNTAGGGATGCTCGTCGAAAAATTTGAATTTAACTCCTAAGGGAGATTAATGTGGACGTTGCTTTGGCTTCATTACACCCCTAAAAGATACCACTTAAAACGGAATAGGTTCGATGACTAGTCACTGTTCAAGAAGGGATCCTGCGCGCACTTGTAGACCCGACACGCGTACTCGAGAGATCAGCGGAAATCAAGCCTAAAAACAGAAATTAAATGAGAGCGTTTCTTTTATTATTATATCCTCGAGTGCACCCTAAAGGATACTTTGACAGCTATAAATGGTGACGTTTCGTCATCAACACCCTAAGTGAGAGCAGAATCTTTGATTTGTACCCGAGACGACGAGTACCCCCGACCTTTTCATATAGGAGTCCCCCCGCCCCGGGTTTCGGACGCCAGCCGTCTAAGGCCGTTTTAAAGTCGCTTGCAGCGTGTAAAGTTAGTTCTTCTCGAGAGGTAGGAGGTAGAACGATCTTTTCATTGCAAGGAAAATACTTATGAAACGCTTAAAAGTCAGAACCAAGTAATAGAATCAATTTGACTTGATAAAACGTATGGCAAGAATGTGCTCATTTTTTTTTTTTCAGTGATTAAACTTAAGTGCTTTAAAAAGCTGTTATCACTTCTAAAGTCTCAAAAGGTTTAAACATTTTGATCAACACTTAAAAATTGTCACTCTTGTGTGTTTTGGATATTTCGCTCTCCCAGATTAAGAACTGTTAAACGACACTCTGGTTACAACTTTGTTAAAAAACGAACTTGATTTAGACAAGAATAGAGGGCAAGGACCGAACTGCAAAGAAAGTTCGCATTGTAAAAATGTCTTCCGACAGTCGAAGCTTGTATCGAGGAAAGCGTTTTGGAATTGAACAGTTGGAATTTTTTCTATTTGTTTTTTTCAACGCCTGTTTGACGCACATTCCCTTGTATAGACTGGGGGGCCTTGTAAACAAGATAAGGGTTTTATTAGCGAGAAAAAGAATTACATTTGAAGGAATTTGGAGTGAATTCTTCATCTTGCGTGTGAGTAAACTTTTAGACTTCTGTTTGCTGATTGATATCAAACTTGATTAGAAACTTGACTTCAAGAGGTCACACTCCTTCATGGGTCGAACAAGAATTTTTCCTTCTCCCGTTCCTTTAGAGCTTGTAGTTTACGTATGGACAAAATTTCAGTTTCCACTACTGAAGAAATATTTTTCGAATTTGGAGATTAAGTATTTTCCTGGTGTCGCGTCAGGGTTGTTTCGCAGGAATTCACTGACATAGAAACTCGCACGAAAAACGCAATTGGCAAAACAAACAAGGCCCTTTTGTCCTATTTTAATAGTTTCTTTGTTGTTCCATCACATTTATTTCAACAGCAGCTTCTCCGGAATCTTTTTTTAAACCTAAAATTGTTTATACTCTGGATTCTAAACTATGGTATAGATATATAGTATTTTTCTTCTGATAAGCTGCTATTTATGTTATGGTTAGGGCACAAAATAACGACGGCCAAAATCCAATTGGGTTAATTTCCTTCTGGCTGTGGAGATTGTTTTTATTAATTTCACTGCATGCAATTTCATGGAAGCACCGAGAAACATTAAATTTACCTTCAATTATGGGAGTTATCTTATTAAATAATTTTGATTATGACGGTAACAGTGTGCCAAATGAGATTTCTTCCACAACGAACTTGGATGAACATGCCAAATTAATCCGATTTTTCTCTGCCCTAAACTGATCAAAGGAACATGCAATTTTCGTTATCATCTTATGGAAACAAATGGTTTTAATCTTGTTGCTGCTGACGTTAATGGAGGCGAGGAGATAAGGAATATCAATCAATTTTGACTTAACGTGCACGAAAGGATATGAACGTGTCATATCTTCGGAAGGAAGGGGTGTGTTTCAAATCATGTCTGTCATAGTTTGTCTTTCAAATTGAATGAAACGTAAGTTCGATATTGGAAATTAGAGCCAATTCGCAATTCAACAAGACTGCTTACCAATCATGTTCGACTTGAGTAGAATTTATTAAACTCTTGCCCTTTAAAAAAATTTTTTAAGATAAGTCAAGCTCTTTGCCCAAAGATTACAATTAATCAAGCTACTTTAATATATTTGTTTGCGGTCTAGAACAAGCTGTAGTGATAATTCTTGTTGGCCGTGCCCGGTATTTTCCTTATTGAGTGTAAAATAACCAAAGGTCAAAACGCGACACGCTAAAAATGCAAACAAGACACTTAACGAAGTACTTTGAAGGTAAATTTAACTGAACGAATCTTTTTATCCATTCTTTAGAAGAAGATGGATTGGCATTTGTTAGAGCAAATTTCTTCCTAAACTTTGCGAGATCCTTAAGAAAGGCCCAAAGGTCTTCCTCTGGGTTATTTTAGTCATCAATCTGTTTGTTAACGGCCCTTTCCCACGATCCACTGTCATTATTTATTACTCCAGATATTTATCAGTTTAGATTTCAATTTCAATTTCGAAAAGGAAGAAGTGAGCTAAGTGGGTATCTTATGCATTCCTTAAATAGCTGGAACTCTTGAGTTCAAAAATGCAACGTGTAGCTTTACTGTGAATTGGTCTTCCTACGAGCTGTTGTCTAAGTCTCTGTAGTTTTATCAACGTTAACCGAGGTCATTTAAGACGTTTGTGCACTTGACTTCGGGCTAAAACCGATCTTTTTGACACAAGTCAACCACGATGTTTGAAAGTAAATGATTGTAACTGTCCAAGAAAAAAATCCAAAGAACTCTTACAACGTACAAAACAAGGCATCAGCTTTTAAAACACGCAATATCCTATACTAAATAAAGAAGCTTCTTTTTTAAAGTCAATGACGACCAGGAGTGACCATTGAGGCTGTCCATAAAGCTGTGGGATTCTTCTGTCATTTTTAAGTTAACCCTGACTAGTCCAAAGTGTCAGAGGCATTCTTTTGCTTAGAGACTTACCCCCAAATTGAACCCTCTTTTGCTGCAGTCAACATCTTAAATTTAGCTAAGGGACACAGAGATGGGAAAAAATTAAAACGAGGACATATATTCTGCAGGCTGACGACACGATCGTGGTGTATAACGTTACAATGTGAGTTTCCACGTTTGGGAAACCATGCAATCTCGTTTATGTGGTCCAGGTGACTTCTGTCTAGATCAAGCTTCGCGTGCTTTCTAGTTGTCAATGGGATTACATCGTGTAAAATACCGCAGCTTTCTGGAAGAAGCCGGTTTGTCCTTGATAGCTTTTTTTTTGTTTTTCTATCAGGTGCAGCCTGAATGATTTTGAAGTGTTTCAACGATTCTACTCGATCGCCATTGTCATGTAATGGACAACATGAAGGGTGGATCTTTGTGAAGCTGACGTTATTCGCATAGCAAATGGGAACTAATTGACTGTAAATAACAAGCTATGACTGCAACCTTGGAGCACTTCAAGAGTAAATTGATGTTGACGAGGACGTAATGATCGGAATCGCTTTCGACTTTTCTCGATAAGCGAAACAGCACGAGTCGATTCTCGGCTTATTATGTTACTTTTTCACTGTTGCCCCGTCGACCTAGAAAATTTTAGTGTTGCCAAACTGACATGTTTTGGGTCGAATTTAGAAACGCGAGCTGCAGGCTTTATTTAGCTTGTTGATTTATCTAAATAAAGCATATAACTCGCTCCAAGTGTTTCTTCAATTATGTGCAATTAGATGGCGTAACCGAAACAACGACGAACAAACCAAATAAACGATCGCGTTTTGCATAACATAGACGGACAATTCGCGCCTGTTTGTTGTCACATTTTCTCAAGAACCTCGATGAACGGGCCGTTGGTCCAAGGTAGAAGTTGTCACCAATAACTTTTCTTCCATCTGAAATGTAAATACGGCTCTTTGCCTTCCACCCACCGAATGTTTACGTTGAAATTTGAACAGCAATTTTTCCCATTTCCTAATCCTATAAAAACTTCCCTAGCTTTTTATAGACAGGCTTGTCAGTTAGTAGTACAGGCAGCTCTTATCTTCGGAAAAATGTAACGATCTTGTTATAAATTCTTTGCCAAGAAAAAAAGAAAAGGTTTCACCAACCTTGCAGCGACACACAAAGCAAGGATTTCCCGCCAAAATTGGTAGGTTAATGACTTCGTTTTCAGCTTCACACGACGCCAGGCTCCCTGGGTGTAAACAAAGTCGCCGTTAGTGGTTGTAAAGTTGCTCTCCTGTGGTTTGCAACCTTAAAAACGGGCTAGCGAACATCATAGGTGACTCACACAAACCTGCTAAAGGTGCTGTACAAGCCACGAAAGGGACGAGAAGTAAAATGACGAACGAGCTCAACAGCTGTAAATTAGCTTGCCTTAGGTCGAACATGCCAAAACGCTTTTCCAAAATATAGTCAAACCTAACCCGATTACGACTTCCACTTCACTGACTCTTAAGTGTCCAAGCTTGGGCTTTGTAATGACAAGCGAACGTGTGTCTCTCGCTTTTCAACAGATTTTTCCCACTTCCGTCACAAAGACTCGGAAATTTGTAGCCACCCAGGCGCCGGCGCCGTTGAGTAGGAGGAGTGTTGCTCCGTGTGATAGATGACTAGCACTCCTCGTCTGTAGCACGCGAGCGATAACCGATGACCGCATGACAGTAATCAGTGCGCTCGGCAAAAGCTGGCTCATTTCAAACATACCACTGCATAGCTCGATCATTTATCATCGCGACACACTCAAAACAGGTCAAGCTGTCAACAGAGATTTACATTTCGCGGTCGCATGTGTGTGTGTGTGTGTGTGTCATTCCGTTACGTTACTTTGGGGGCTTGGTGTGAATTGAGTTTTAAGCTCAATTGTTTTGTACCACGAGGCCTTTTTTTGTGAGTGGTGTTTGTATGTTTATATTTTTTCCCTTTTCTTTATTTGTCTACCGGATTCTTTGTTTGTTCCCGATTTCAATGGACAAAAGATGTCTGATTTAATCGCTGTCGCGTTATTGATACAGATCTATATGATTGCACTGCTTCTCAACGAATGCGTCCAGGTATCTGTCCATCACTGCCGATTCTCATCGCTTAATGTGACCGATTTGTTTTACAATTCGTTTGCACCTGTGTACACAGAGCAGAGGGTACATAAGGGGTGCAATTTTGGGGAAATTTCGGCACTAAGTGCCAAGTTTATTCAATTTATTATGAAGAATGATCTCTTCAATGTGCGCCGTCTGCCCGGCGCCTGCCATACAAGGCCCTAAAAATTGGCTTAATTTAAATAAGTCACTTAAAGCTATGAAAACGTGTTTCGCCCGACGCCAAAACATGTATAACCTTGTTAGAGTTACTTTTCGTGTCGCTTAAAGTTATTCGTTTGATTACCCCTTATCGCGTAAATCTCTTAACGGAATAGACATCAACACTGCTCGATAATAACCTCGCATACGACACGTTATCTACCGGGAAATAAGTTCAGCCGCCGACCTTGTTATCTGCTTTGAACTGCATGCGCGGCGAATCTTTGCGTTTCCACATCATTGAAATAGTAAAAAGGACAATAACGCATTCGTCTTAAGACGCCGTACTGGCGTGGGTGCATCGATTATCGAACTGCTTTGAAATTTTTTATACCTCCTTATAAGGTGTTAAAGTGATAAGAGATGAAAACAATTAATCAACTGCGGAGTGTTGACTGCTTTTTGTGTTACCATATAATGATTTTGAAGAGAGCTTGCCTGTCTTGCTTTGTTCGTTTGGGTACAAATTTGAAGTAATTTTCGCTAGGTAAATCCACTTATCCAAACTATGGATTCATCCTGTCGTTTTCTCAAGTTTCAAGATTATAGCAACTATTGTGTCACTAGCTACTTCTTTTTAATCTCAATATAATCACGTTTCAGTAGAATTCAATGCTAGTTTTCCTTCATTGCTTGCAGGGCGACACCTGACAAGCTTAGCCCGAGTGATCAGTACATATTTCTCTTAATAAATTCGATCTTTCTAAAACCTTTAAAGACCCTGACCCTATGCGGTAAAACGACTTGTTATGAAGTAATAGACAACTGTTTCCGCAGAGCCAGGCTTTTTCTGTGATATACGGTCGCCAGCCTTCACGGGTCTGTTTGAATATGGAGGCAGATTTAGCAGATGTAAGTGCTGGTTATCAATATAACGACCTCTACGATATTTGTTTCTGTAGTGTTTTCCTGTTATGTCACGAGCTTAATTTGTTATTTATTGTTACCTTCAGCTATTCCGTGACTTCTCGCGAACACATTTAACAATGATGTTTTTGTCACATAAATGGCATATAACATTCAACTAACTTCATGTTAAGTAGTATTCCTGTAATTTAAAAACATGCTTTTACTTCAACAGGTTGGTTTATCAGCAGAAATTCCACAACGTATTCCAAAGGTAGCTTCTTTTCAATTTGTTTTTGAGGAACATAAATAAATTCTACTCCTTCAATATTGCTGTCCACTGAAGCCTGTAAGAGGCAGGTGATTTCATTTTGTTAGATAATGTTGGCATAACTAAAAATAAATTGTTTCACGAAGCTTCTGCTCAGATGAAATTTATTTCGCAGAACATTCAATAACTAAAATTCTCAGTAAGAAGTTGAAAAAACCCAAACCACTCTGAAAACCGGTGGTGTTCTGTATGGTAAAACTAACATAGTATTTTAAACAAATGCTTGGTTATTTTGTGAGTATAATATAAGGACTTTAAAATTTATATTCAAATTTACCCACCAGTTTAACCAAAAACAAATTTATATTCGTGCGGTTATCGAGGAAATTTATCGGTTTTAAAAGCGTTCTCAAACTTGCTTAACAAACATAATTTAATAAATTATAGAACCTCTTTGACACTTTTGTTGAATAGTTTCACTTGTGTAGAAGCGTTATTTGTCACTTTCTGTGTCCGTAGTGCTCACCGTGACATTAACACTTGCAAGAACGCGAGGCACTCGCTTTCAAAATAGATAACAGATCTAAATTAAGCAAACAAATCAGCCGGTCTTGATTTGTGAAACCACTTGAACCCGTTAATAACACGTGCCAAGCCTGTAGGCATGATTTGATACAAATCGTAAATCGACGAAACGTTGAAGACTTGATCCAAGAATAAATTGAATATCTCGCTAACATTAAACCACGAAGTATGTGAATTGCTGTACTCGCGTTGCCAAATTGTTGTTGCCAGGCAACAAAGAGTTCATCATGTTCAGCCGATGTCCTGAGAATTTAATTTCTGAAAATCCCAATAAAAATACAGTGAAAGAAAATCAAAAGTCTTACAGATAATCGGATTAACCTTTTGAGGATCTTTGCACTGAAAAATTGTAATCCTCTCATAAAACTATTTCAAACTTGCAAGCAGTAATTGGCAATCCCTTAAAACAATTTAAGCTTTGCTTTCGTTTGTGCTAAGTAGCTAGTCGAAGCTGACCAATGTCGTGATGCTCTCCCATGGGGAAGGAGTGGGGAGTACAATGTTTCTTGTATTATTCCGTCTTCTTCTATCGCTTTAGTCATTTTATAAGCTCAGTTGATTTCTCAGAGCTATATGGATACCGCCATTTTGAAACCGCGAAATGGACAGTTTTGCTGCTATGGTTAAGTACCCAATTTTATTTACCAGCAACACTCAACTTCCCGTCGAAAACAAAGTAAAGGGAATACGAGCTGCTTTATCCCCGGAGTAATAACTAATTGATATCAGAAGTTATTACACGTCTGGCAGTGTAATGTACACAACACAGCCTTCTTTACTTCCCCAATCTCATAATTTGATTTTGCGATTGTTCTGTAGTATTTATTTCATTCATTTTTCACATAGTTTATTCACCAAAAGCATATGTTACCAAGCAGCGTTACTTACTAAGTCACGTTCAATTTTCACTCATAACACGACCAAAAGCTAAAAATTTATTACAGAAATAAAACGAACAAGCGAAAAGAAGTAAAAAACACGATGTATTAGGACACTGGTTTTATACGGTTAAGGAATTGAGGGTATTTTCAAAACTCCGTAAATTTAAGAGGATTTTACATGAATATAGGTCATAGTTTACCTCACAAATCCACATTTATTGCTAATTCCTCAATTGCAAGTTAGTCTACGTAATATTTGAGCCTTAATACTAATTTCATTTTGATCTACTCTCGTCATTGCTACGAGCAAAGGATTCCTAGGTGTCCGTCGTTTTGGCGGTGTCTGTTTCGCCTGACGTCGCTAGCATTACATCATCCCACACGAGACGAACGTTAAAGCGCTTTAGAGAAGACTCACGTATTGTGGAGACGATGACAGACACTTGTCAATCACCCACGCAGAGGTATGCCACCTTCGAGCGAGATCAAGAACATAAGTCAAATTGTAAATTGAAGATAGAAATGGTGTCCAAAGGTTTGGGCAGATACAATTTCTGCTTTGATTTCGCTGTTTGCACGCGGGTGGCCAAACACAATAGAAATAGGACATAGTGTTTGTTGTTATAGTCAAATAAAACAAGGCGTATTAAGGTGAAATGCCACTTTTAACCCCTTTAAAATATTTTAATACCATCAATGTTATTGATATTGGTATTGTTTGACGCTTTGTCTCGACATCTTGTTTGAGCATTTTATTTTCTTTTATAATCTTCTCTCTTCCTCCGCAAAGCCAAGTCGGTTAGCGTGTGTACTTGCAAATATACGAATGCGAGTTTACGTAACCACAATGGCGGTTAATTAATTTATAATGTACAAGTACTAGATTTTCGCGAGTTTCTAAACTTATTCCGGTTATGTATCTATCGATGTAAGAGCTACCCTCCGCTATCCGCTAAATATACAAAGATAGGGTTGAAAAGAGAGAACTGACAACTTTTGTTAGCTATTTCGATTGTGTGACATCTTCTCTATTCGTTTTAACTACAGTTAGGAGATTCCTCTATGATACAAATCGATATAAACTAACAAGCTGGATCTATTGGTTGAACGAAAAACATATCAGAATGTAGTTTAGCACATTTGTCATTTAATATTAGGGAGCTTAAGCAACGACGACGGCGACCCCAAGAGCAACGTCTTGTCAAAAATGAATTTATATTTTACCTTCGAATTTCCCAGCTGTCTAGATCTGTTCAGTGCGCCTGTTGGCCTCAGAACGTGCTCAAACTAAATATGTAACGCCAGCGTTCAATTCAAGATGGAAATCTGAAAAATTCGCCACCGTCGTTCGCGTTATTCAAAATACATAGAACCTAGTAATTTCGCGTTGTTGTTGTGCAGAGGACGGCAAAGAAATGTACAAAGATTTATAACGCAAGTGCACAGCTATTGTTCTACTCATTAAACTTTTGTCTGGTGGCGTTCTCGTTACCGTCCTCGTGCCTTGCTTAACCCTAATGTTGTTGTGCTTGGGACAGATGAGAAGATGTAGAGATGTAGCACACACGCGCCAAAACTCCAGCAGAGCAGTAATGGCTTTCGTTTTAGTATGTTGTTGTCGCCTATTGTCCTCGTGCTTTGTGTAAATCCCCTAATTATTTTAATTTTAAGTATATGAACCTAGATAGCATTCAATATACATTTTCAAAAATGTAAACTGACATTAAAATAGGTAAAGAATAATTTTATTTGTTGTCTTATCACTGTGCAGTGAAGCGAAAACAAAATGATTTCTTACTTATTTCAAGTCAAAAAGACCAAGACATGTAGGAGGGAGCATCTCGTTTATCGATCAGACAGAAATGGCTTTAGTATAGCTTAATACATCTAATATACTAAAACATGGATGAGACATAACAAAAAATTACTTAAGTAAAATTTCTAGATTGAAGTGGTCAGTGATTTACTGACAAACTCCTTAGATTATTGAATTTGTAACATGATTACGTAGCCTAAAAACCGGCAATGGGTCTACATACCAACACACAACTATCTTACAATAACAACGTGAAATTTTATTTGGCGACACGCCCGTGAGTGAACCTGAACTTGACTAGTTTCGAAGCACGACTGGGCCCGTGAGTGAACTTGAACTTGACTAGTTTCGAAACACGACTGAAAAAGGAAAAATAGAAACTGCCATCTAAAAATAGAATATGACGCAAGGCTGCTGACTTCCCTTTTGCCGTGGCTACCTTGTTTGGATCTTTTACCTGCACTGTTCCAAAACGCGTCTTAAATTCATGTTCTCGCGCGGTATTGGACTGGAACTAGCTTGCAATTGAGGCTAACGCGGGGAGACATTTTACTCTTTTTATTGATATTTCCCCGCATGAGCCGCCATTGCAAGCAAGTTTAGTCCAACACCGAGAATACGAATATATGATATGGACTATTTCAGCCATTGCGGAAACAAGCTATGTCACAGAAAATGTGGCGAAACTAAAGTTTGCGGTCTTCAAACTTGATTCCTACGTTTGGAAAATAACTTCACTATCTACATTTATGTACACATGTCATAGGAAATAAGGGTGGATTTAGTCTTGCGGTTTTTAATAGAGATTCTAGTTTTGGATCATAACTTCATGCTCTCGATTTATGGAAAACAAAAGACATCTTCATTTGGCTGAAAAAGGCAACATGGCAGATCAGTTTAAAGCGCTACTTAAGCTGCCGGCAATGTCGAATTAGCTAGTTTAATCTTTCAGTATAGCTATTTGCGACTTAGGAGCTTGTCACGAATACATTTCCTTTAACAAGGAATTTACTTTAAATGATGACATGTGTTATATCATCATTCGTAAAAATAGAACAACACTTATCTCATGACTTAACAAATAACGTTTCAGTGCTTATTACGACTGCAGACAGTTTATCTAGCATTTGTCTCAAGCACAGGACAAAAGGAAAAACCCGCCCTTCCGATTTGTGAACCCTTTTATCCTGACTTCTATTCTTGCTAAATGGTGCCAGAAATAGAAATACTCAGAATTAAGTCGTCAGATATAAATTAGAGAGCTTAAGCAAACCACGATGGCAACGACAACGAGAACGCCACCAACGAAAAGGTTCAATGAGAAGAACAATGGCTGTACACGTGCGTTATAAATCTTTGAGCATTTCTTCGCCGTCCTCTGCAAAACAACAACGTGAAATGACAAAGTACTTCGTATTTTGGGGAACGCAAACGACGGCGGCTAACTTTTCGCATTTTCGTTTGGAATTGAACGCTGAGACTAGACAATAGCAGATTTGCACGTTGTCGTCATTTGACTACAACCACTAGAGTTCCTTTCTTTTGGTCTTCTTTATTTAAATTTTGAAGCCCTAATTGCCCTAATTAGCGTAAGAAACAGAAAAAGTGAAGGATTCTGGTTTTTGTAGCCAAATGACGCCATCATGCTAATGGCCTATTACGAAATTTGAAAATAAAATACGAATTCATTTTTTACTAGGCGTTGTCCTCGGGTTCGCCGTCGTAATCTAATGTCTTAAGCTCTCTAATTAAAGGAGAAATTCGTTGTAGAAAGTAAGGTCTTACAGGAATACAGGCACCGTTAAATCCCGAACATTTTTCACGTTATTTTTTATGAGTTATTTTATCACATTTCTTGTGACAAGCTCTGAAACGGATCAAGCCGATCGGACATGTAATTTCAAAAGCCATTCTTTAAATAGCTTAATTTTTTGGCGTGATATGCAGTTCGAAGGGACTAATTGTAGTCTTAATTTTATCCCAGGGCAGAAAGAAATCGGGGTTTGAGGGAGCCCGTGGGATAAGACGTGTGGGAAGTGCCGGTGTATGGGAGGGGCATCAGTTGTAGGCGTTCCCAAGATCGCTGGGATTATTTTTTGAGCCTCAAAAAATAATCCCAGCGAATAAAAACGCTCAAAGGAGTTCCTGGGAACGAGTGATACACTAGCGTGACGTCATAATTTTGCTCGATATCAAAAGTAAAGGGAAAGGAAAATGCCCTAGTAAATATCTAGAGTTGTCTGATGGCCGTTGGGGGAGTGTTTAGCTGTATCCACCATATAAAAATATCATCTGGTAAATAAAAATAAGCATAGTTATTTCTTGGCTTTCATGTACAAATACTGAGGAAATTTCATTCAAAAGTTCTATTTTTGTGGAATTCAAGTTGCTTTAACGATAAAGGCGTAACAGTTAGTCGCCAAATCTGTGCATTTCTTGTTGAATATTTACCCTTATTAGAACTCCATGCAGAATCACCAATAACTAGGAGTTGTTACATTTTTTTTGCCTTTTTCTCCAAAACTACGGTGTGTGGAGATCCAAACTCCTGAAATGGATTCTATTTGTAGGTAAATTACACTCAAACAACTGAAAGAACATCTGTGGAAATGATAGTTTTACCGTACCTCAAGGTATTACAGACACACCGACGAAAAAATAACACACATTCTTACGTATCTCAACTTACGTGTCTCAGCAAGAGTTCGCCCCATAAAGGAAACTAAGAACTTTGGAGCTACTTAAAAGCCTAACACTGTACTGTAAATAATTCGAACGCTTGAAATGTTTTTTGTCTGAATTTGTTTGCAACTGATGTGACCTGTTTGTAAATAGACCAATAGCGTTGAAACGACTGCTCAGCAGGTTGCACGGTATACCTGCAACAAATTTAAATCTTGAACGGTTTTTGAAAGTTTGAAGTTTGAGTTTGCCACTCACACGATGCGTTTTCAAATTATTTTTTCGTCAAATAGAAATATGCAGACGAGAGTATAAAAGCATTAAATTCTAAACCTCGGATAATGCTTTTCTAGCCTTCTGATTGGTTCACTGAGTCTCAGTTACCAGCCAATATACTTGTTTGACCGTATAAGGTCTTGACGATGACAGCTGCGAAAACAAGTTAGCTCTTGTGTCATTTGACTTGAACAAGGACACTACAGATGTTCCCCTAAGCGTTTGTTGTTTGTCACACATACAGTGTAACCCCGTTAATCCGGTCACCAAGGGGCAATGAAAATTGGCCCGCATTAACGGGGTGACCGTCTTAACATCGTTTGTTATATATTACCTCGTATCCAACAAGGGCAAATGGAATAATTGTTGAATGTTACACAGAACACAAGAAATCAACACCAGAAATAGATTTTCCTCGATCGAACTGCCGAAAATGAACTTGGAGTTTGGCCGTCGGAGTTTTTCGTTTTTAGGGGCTTCAATTTTTAACAGTTTACCGNCAACAAATTATCGATTTCTGTCATACGGCTATTACTCGACTTATTTTAGCCTTGTCTTGGAATGTATGTACATAGCACTTTTTCCCTTTGCACACCAAATCTCATAATTGAATTTTACGATCGTTCAGTAGCATTAACTTGAACCACTTCTGGAATATTTTCTGTAATGTACCTGACTTGTTTTGATATGTCAAGTCCCGTTAAATGTCACGATGAGAAACCAGGAAACTAGAAAGTTATTTTGAGTGGAAATGAAAAGAACATTCAAGTCAAAATACTAAAGCTTTTATTCTAAAGTTGACGGAGTAAGAGCATTTTCAATTCAGGTAAAATTAAGAAGATTTAACGTCAGATGAAACTCATAGTAGCCACCTATAAAGATACCGCGTTTATAAAACCTTAATTCCTCAATATTTAACTTAGTCTTCTAAACTGTTGCAGTGATACTTGTACTGGCCTGCCTTATTTCACTGCTCGGACAGCTTTCAAGCCGTGTGATATCAGTTGATATCAGTCCCGAGGTAAATGGAATGATATATAGGCACCGTCGCGAATTATGACCGATAAGGTAAGCAACTGTCAATCAAACTACATGCTTGTGTTTGTGTGTGGCAAGACACCTTAAAAACCGGAAAGATTTGTTATTATTACAGCAAACAATAACATGGAATATTCAAGTGCAATTTTGTCCTAAATGCCAACAATGCTATCAACTGGTGTTAGGCCCTATAGATATTTTAATTTGTAGTATCGATATTTTAGGTTTTCCTTTACTGCTCTAATCTCGTGTTAAATGAAATTTGAAATTCATGGATTGAGCTTCACGAAGATATCTCGCCGTAGCCGTGTATTTTGGGAACTCTCAAATAGTTTAAATTCGTGGAAATATGACTTCTGTAAGGATTTTGGAAATGATAATTGTTGTAATATTAACTTGTGGGTACCCCTCTGTGGAGTCCCTTACGTTTTCGTGGGCCGCCCCACATCTCGCGAACATGTGAGTTGGCTTATGTCGGACATTGTGTTGACAGTGTTTAACGTTGCGTTGAGTATTTGAGCGTTATCTAAAGCTATCTTACAACAATAATTTATAATGATAATAATCCTGAAAAGTCCCATTTACACTGTCACTTCTCATTTGAACAATAGTTTTAAGTGGCTGATCACGGACGAGGTTGATCACTGAAGAGGTAACAAATCAGTCAGGGATTGTTAAGACTTCTGTTGAGTGAATTGCGTCATTGCGGTGTGTTTTTGGGTAAAGCACTTTACCCCAAGGGTCTCCATGTGGTTGCTGAAACATCAATCATTAGTTTAATTTTTGGCGATTTCTTCGCTGTCAGGTAAAAGTTCAGCACATTTTTCATCTTTCAGTAAATTTTCAACTTTCATATCTCGGCTATTAGACAAAAAACGCGATTTCTCAGCTGCCAGACCAATTCTGAACCATCAGTCAAATCCCACCCTCTACTCTGACAGCGCGGTTTTGTATTCCACTGCCGTGGTACTAGGGAATTATTGAGGAAGCCTTGATGCAGTACTTGACTACAAAGAAAACACCAGACGTCTCATTTTTTTTTTTTTTGTTTTACAAGATGCAAGTCTTTGACAAAATTTTGGGTTGGCTTTGATAGACAACGTCCCACCCAAAGAGAGTAACGGAATATTTCTGGTCGCTTCATGCAAGTAAAACCGGAGACATGTAAAGAGAGACAGAGCTCACAGGTTAAAGGTTTTTAGCTGTTACCAAACTCCACAGTCTATCAGGTCTGATAAATGCTATAATCTTCTGTTGTCTGCTGAAGTTTCCTTAACCAGTTAAGATAATACATGACAATAAAAGAAAACAGTATGCAATTCTAGAAGGTTTATTTTGCTTTGGTTTTAAGGGATGCAGAGTTCACTTGTGACCGATTTAAATTTAAGAGATCTTAATGGAAAAGGCAACCAGAACTAATTGACCTTGTTTTCATTGTTGACAAACGTTTCATTTGGATGATAAAAATAAACGGCAGCCATGTTAATCACAAATCTCTTTTTTTGTCGCTGAAAGTTTATTCCCATTTATTTCTTTTGTAATTAAAAAAGAAATGTGTTTCAAGAGTGAAGAGGAGACGCACAACCTGAATAGGTACAAAAGAGTCAGCCAAAGCCAGGCAATCCTGGCTGTATTATTCTACCAGTCTGGTGGAAGTCGGGGAACAATTGGTTGGAAATTTCACACCGTTTTGTAAAGCTATTTTTAACTGGACTTAAAAGAAGTGAAAGATCAAAATTATTTAGACCTCATCGCCGGTGGTCCCAATTCACTACAACGTAACTATCAGGGACAATTATAACACTTTAGAACCTAGACCAGTTTATGTAGATTATCTGTCTGATCTATTGTGAATGAGATATGCAGCGTGGGCGGGGAAATATACGTTTATAGTTTTTATAAGAATTTTGTTATAATAAAAATATTGAGAATGAAAAGGGCAAGCATTTTAAGCACAATAGAGAAAAAAGACTCGGTTTAAGCGTTGAAAGGCAACTTAAAGCGGAAGGTTTTCACAACTTGATTTTTTTGAGGGTATGAGGGTCTGAATGGGGAGGGGGGTGATGCAAATGTCGGTTGTCAGTTAAAATTTTGTTCATTTGTCAGTTATCAGTGGAGTGGCTGTTAATCATAGTTGTAGCTGTGGTGTGGAGGTCATTCAGCGGTTAAGAAATTCCTCCTTCTCTTAAATCATCCATTATATAGTCATTCAAGAGTCTTAAAGCTTACCTTTATTTGTGTACGATTCCTGTATTGTCAACTCGGTCGCGTTTGACGATAAACGACTTTTGTGTCCTGATGAATGGAAGAAAACCTCCGAGCCTAGAGATGGGCATGGCTTGTTTGAACGTGATAATAAATCTTACACCCACCGAGTTATGTAGCTCAGTGACGGCAAATAGCAAGATTTAGGGTCACGACAGACATTTTTTGTTTCTTCGATTCAAAGAATGAATAAGATCATATCCCAAAGATCTTTACTTATAATTTACTCTCTAGAAGTCAACACGTCATGCCCAACGAAGTACAAAGCAAGTATAACCTTTCCCATGAGACTGCAGCCTCACATATCATATTGAACGCACTCCCTAATCTATGATTTCTTCTGGTCATTAATTGTGTGTTTGAATGTTTAATTAAATGAACGCGACGGAATTCATTTTCAAAAAGAAGGAGAGGGATAGATATCTAAAGCCTAGGTCAAACGGCGCGTGATAGTCGATGATAGTTGAATGATTTCCCCCTAACTTTCACCGGCCATCATCAGCTATCATGCGTAGTACTAGTTTGACCAGGGCTTAAAACTCTTCAAAAAGTAAACATTGTTTGAAAAATTACCTATTGTGTATATTTGGCTCATACGGGTTCACGTGGACTCCATATAAACAAATAAAATACGAAACGTTCTTACAGTAAAGCTTGCAAAGGGTGTTGTCGTTAAAATTTGTGACGTTGTTGTTAGCTGATTGGTCTAAATAATCGTATTTTCTATATTCATCATTGCTGATCTGAGGTGGTTGTTTGTCATTTTGAGATGTTTGCCGTCCGAGTAAGATGAATGCAGTTCCCTTCTGACATGAAAAAGCAAATTCTTACTTTGAAGAAGAAATGGCAACCACGTCTGGAGAAGAGAAGTCGGTTGACACCCATTTCTGTCAGTGGTTAGTATCAATTTCTTTGCTTTTAAATTCGTAAGTAATATATCTATAAAAATATCGGTGCCAAGTCCTAACACGCGTTTGACAGGCTTCATATTGAACTTCAATAGAACAACCTCATTCCTTTAGAAAGGATTAAAACTATGAAGAAGCTAGTTCAGGGACCATACGAAAAGCTTAAATTTGTTATTTCGATGAGAGTTTGGCTTTCTTCGAGAAAATGGTGTTTCTTTGTCAAACTTTGCCTTGTACTTGTCAACGAGCACTCGCGTTTAACAACTCATTGTGAATTCGTTAATTCCTCGTTTACTCGTTTGTTTCCACACTTGGGTTTGTTCCTTACGCAATTTTTATCTGTTCGATTTTCAGAGAGTAAACAACCGAAGACAGGAAAGTCGGGAAAACACAAGAAGATCAAAAGGATGCAAGCAGGGATGATGAACACAAAGTTACGAATATCATTTAAGAGTTTGGTTAAATTGAAATAATTCCTATAAGAAATGGTTGTGCCGTAAATGACGAGCAGCTAGAAAGTTATTTACATAAATGAGACAAAC